ACTCCTGTGATGAAAGGCCCGGCGGCGGCGCCAGCCTCCAGTTCAAAGAGAGCTGGCACAGAGCGAGGGTAATTAGCGTGCTCTTCAGGTGAAGAACGGCTTTAATAAGATTTCATTTAAGTTTACTGACCCAACACAAAAGGAGCCGTAATTTTGATTTCTTTATTCTTTACAGAGGCTTAAGTTAAAAAAAAGAAAGAAAAAGAAGGCAAAATAAATTAATAAGAAATAAAGTGAAAGATAAATGAGTTTAGAGGAATTGTTAGGGAGGAATGTGTGGTTCTACTGACACCTGCTGGCTGAAGACTGAAATAACCTAAATGAACATGTAATACTTTACATTTACAAATGGAAAATCTAAAGATGCCATCACCATCTACAGTAATTCTTTTGAATTTATATGAGTTGCAACATTTAATTTCCCTCTGGGATCAATAAAGTGTTTTGGAATTGAACTGGAATCTTACCAGCTATCTGCTTCTGCTTGGCCCAGTATCGGACGGTGAACACCAGAGGCCTCAGCCTCTCCTCCAGCCCCGACAGCAGCTGCAGGAAGCGGGTGTTCCTCACACCAAGTCTGACCAACAGAGAGGAGAGGAGAAAACATACAGAAAAATGCATTCATAAAAAAAACAAACAAACACCATTTTCCTCACCAACCTGTTGTTCAGGGTGATGTCTCCGTGCAGGTTGAGCTCCCGGTGATGGTACTTGACGACAGGGAGGCGAGCGGTGCTGACCACGTGGACTTTGTGCACGCTGGGGACGCAGCGCTTCAGGATGGTGGCCACGAGCTCCAAGACCTCGGCCGCAGACGCCGTGGACAGATCGATGTCGGACAGGATGGAGTCCTCTGAGCGGCCGTCGTCTGACATGCCTTCGCCTGCCTGGAGGGAGGAGGAAGAGAGCAAAGCTTCACCTCGACCCGTCCAGGATGACATCTGGACGGGTCGAGATGAGGGTAAGAGCATCAGACCTGCTCTGTGGAGGTCTTAGCCCGTGCTTGGAACGTCTTGGTGTTTTCCAGGTCCAGGAACAGGTCCAAGTCGCACGAGTGAATGCCGAAAGTGTTGACGGATGAACCAAAGAGCAAAATCTGACTGTCTGTAACCCACAGGAATGTTGAAAATAGAGATTAAACATCATGAAAAGTGAACGTCTCTCATACTAAGGTCATGCAGGAGATAGTCACCTGGAAAGAATTCAACAAAGACCTCCTGCAGGAGTTGGACCACCAACCCTCTGGCCTTCTTTTCATTCTCTCCCAGCTGGAGACGCTCCACCAGCAGTTTCATTTGGGCATCCACCTGGGAGGAAGCACAAGCTACGTCAGCAACAATCACTCATGCATATTTTTTACTACATAAAAACAGCTTACAGACTTTGAATAGAATCCAATGGAATTAGATAAACATTAGAACACTGGCAGATTTTATTCACCTTGAGATTTTCTACATTTCATTGCATTACAACACAACTTTACTTTAGATGGACAGACAGAAGAGACAAGCTAAGGCAGGATTAGGCTATAAGACAATCCAGTCTAATCCAGCACTGTTCAATTGAAAATGGAAGGAGTCTGGTTGGTACGCATAAAAACATTTCAACACTTTATTATAACACAGAAAACGACAACAGCAATCGGTTGGCTCAAATATGTAGCAATCCTAAACATTTCCCTCCTAAACTGTACAGCTAATGGGAATTAGCTCAATGTTTTCCTGCTTCAAAAAAACTGCAGTTTTTTGTTTGTTGTCTTGTAACATAATTATTTATTTTTTAATAACTAATTATTATTTTTATTTCTTTCAGCTTGCAGTGGTGAGTACACTTCCACTAATGGCGGAGATCATTTTTAGCTTAGCTTTGAAAACGTTTAGCACTTAGCTCTCCATGAATTCATGTTTTCAGATAAATTCTGTAGTGATAATTTACTTGATTGTCTTGTGATCAGTGTTGAAGTTTTGGTTATCGACTGCGTTTATATTCATGCTCTTATTTTGAATTTGGTGAAGTCTGTTTAGGCAGCAGTTCTGTTTCCTCTTTCTTCCCCCATAACTTTATTTAAAGCAAGATGCATACAGGAAAGACATAAAACACAGACAGGATTATTGAACATGTAAATTATAATGTCAAAACTAAATTAGTGCTCAAGGGTTGTAGTCTTTCAAGAGCAGATGTAATTTGAATTGAAGTTAGCGGTTTAGCATTAGCTTTCAGTAAATACTGTATTGGTGTAGCGCTTTAGCAGAACTAACACATTAGCTAGCAGTGCCCACCACTTTCAACTTGCCATCCTATGTCCTGCACTGTTTCATTTGAAAGACTGAAATTGTTCAACACAGAAAAAAAATGCATTGTGATCATTTTTTCGGCAATATTGCCCGACTCTACTGCTAACCTAGCAAGACACGGTGGGTAAACCGACAGGCTAGGCAGGGCGAGCATTAATCAGGAATGTGGTAACTCTGGAGGAGCTGCAGAGGTCAGGTGAGAATAAAATTAAACTTCTTGACCAACTACAAAAAAAAAAGGCCGTGGTTGCTCACAGAACGTATAGCATTATGCTATTTTCCAGCAGGGACAGAAAAGCAAGACATCAACATCATATGAAGCATGTGCTTCAGGAAAACGAGTCTGGTATGAAGTGGAGGTTTACCGAAGAAAGCTGACACAGCTCAGGCTTGAGCCGGTCAAAGATCTGCTGGAGGCTCTGAGGATCGTTCTTCTTCTTGGGAATCAGTTTGAACTCCTTCTTTTCCCGAGGTTTAACCCGCAGCTTCAGGCCTTGGAGCCGGTGCTCGACGCAGGCCAGAGCCGCCTGGATGCTCTCTGACTCACTGAACTGAACGATGGCATAAACCCCCTGGCAAAGGAACAGTTCAGCATCTCATCAGTCGCTCTGAAGAAATTCTAATAAAGTCACAAAAACAAAAGCTGCACACTGCGACCAGCCGAAGCGGACCAACCTTGTCTTTATCCACAATGACATCAGAAACGGCCCCAAACTGCTCAAAGTACTCGGTCAGGTCGGTCGAGGAGATCTGTGGTTTGATGCCGCTGACAAACACGCTGTGCTCCTCGTGACTCTTCCTGGTGGAGCGGACCCCGCTCAGCGTCTGGTGCTTCCGCCCCTTCACATGCTGCTCCACACTCGACACTGGATAGTCATTAAAAAAAACAACAACAAGAAAATCAACTATTAGACAGACCAGACAACTACATTTGAGTAACACAACATGTCTGATACTTGTAAAATTCATTATCTGTGTTTGGTATAATGTAAACTACAGGATTACGGTTTAATCCCATTTTTATTTTTTCAATTTTGTAGAAATACATCTTTTTTAATTCATTACTGTTTCATGAAGAAATAAATATGATAAACAATTCTCACAAATCTTTAAATATTCTGGTTTATCCTGAAACACATTGGTGGGTTTTAAGCCTGGAGGCTCTTGGTGATATTTTGTTAAACTACAACTGCTACATAGTCATTATGTTTATGTTTTACTTTATAATAAAACTTTAAAAACCAGTTAGATGTAGTGAACCTGGCGGTCACATTTTCTCCTCCATGCCCAGTGGAGGAACCACTATTTTTCAATGTGCTAAAACCCAGCAAGATGAAACAAACATTTCAAACAGATTTATTTTCCACATTTTTTCCCCCATTTCTCAACTCACTGCTTGAACTTCATAGCAGTAAGATTGCTACAGTGTCAAATCAATTTACTGCATATCTAACAAATCAGAACAAGAGAGAGAACAAACGTTACAGTTGCAGCCTCTGTCCTGGGTACTCTTCCTCTCAGTGTTTTGGTTATCCCTATTGCTTGTCCACCTTTTTCCAACAGTTTCTCCTTCCACCCAACTTTCCATTAATATGTTTGGATCCAACACAATTTGTCTTACCTCCTCTGTGTAAACGGCAATGTCTGCTGCACAACAACAGTATTTTCCTTGATTGTTTGGACCATAACGTGATCATTTAAATCGTGGCTTCGACTCGTGGGCTTAAATGTTATATTTAAACTGCTGCCGTAACATTACAGATGTCCACTAGACTGCCTGTTCAGATAAATACATATTTCCAATAATAAAATTAAAAATAATGCTCATAGAACGCTTAAGACCTGAAACAGAACTTTTTAACCAAACAGGCGCGTACTCCGGATAGCTTATGTTACTCACAGTTCGGTAAGTTGACGTTACACAGTTTGCAGCAGAACCCTCTGGTTGTCGTTTGTATATCACTGTCTGAAGACATGGCGGCCAGTATTTCTCTAAAAATTTATGGAAAAAACTAAACACTTCAGTCTCGGATAGTGTGAGGGCAGCTACCCTTACTGCGCCATGCTCAAATCTCCCTCCAGCGTCAGGTCTTCGTTTGGGTTCAGTCCGCCAGCAAAATCTGTTCGGGTGACAATGTTTTCCTGACAAGGTTCCTACCACGCAGAAGTGATTTCCAGTTAGGCTGGTTGTAGCAGTACATAACGATAAACTATCGGAGCTATTCGAACCTGTGGTTTAAATTTGTTTTACTACAACCAAGCAGTCAGTGTTTAATAACTATAATTTTACTACCAGAGATTTCATCAAGCAATCTGAATTACGTTTACAAATATCAGTGTTGCATAGTTTTAAATTGTATATTTATTATGGAGAATCAAAATCAAAGCTGTTGGTACAAATGTTTTTCATGGATTTAATAGCCTGCAGACTAATAATCAAACACCAGACCAGTGTCATTATGCTGACATTCCAAATGTGGCCAGATTAAGTCTGTTTGGAGCCTAATGCTAGAGGTACAAAATAATTCTGGAAACACACAGCTAAGCTTAATCAGAATAAGACCACTGTAATATTTAACATCTTACGATTTAGGTCAATATTGTTTTGACCTAAATTATATTTTATACAAAAGCTTTCAAAACTAGCATGTCCGATGCAACTTGAGAACCATTTAGCAGTAAATAAAAAAGACCACTGCACAATTGTACTGTAGTAAAAAAAAATTTAATACATCTTTTTCCACAGCGACAATATATTTGTAGAACCATAAAACAAAATATGAAAGGGTTAAAAACATGGATTACTGAAGTATTGGCAGTGCTTAATTTTCAGTTGATAAAACTACCTTCTACAATGCCCTCATACCTAAAATTTGGAATTACAAAAACATTTGGGGAAACCGTAATTAAGATGAGAAGTATTTACAAAACAGTCATTTCTTTGCTGATCTCCCCCGCCGATTTTTTTGCTGTGCTCCAATATCTTCCACCACCACCACCTCTGCAACCTTCGCTCCTCGCCTTCCTCTCTTGGCGGGCTCAACGACGTCATCCGAGAGTCTCTTCTCTTCAGTGCTGCTGGCCTCCTTTGTTCCCTCTTTGCTGCTAGCGTCAGCCTGGTCTGGAACTTTTGTCTTCCTGCCTCGAACGGCCTTCACCGGCGTAACTTTTGGAATTTCATGGATTTCCAGGTCTGTTTTGAACTTGACCGCCTTCTTGGTCATCTTTGCGTCTTGGACGTCAGCCTTCGAGCTTTCGGAGGGATTTGTCTCATCATCTAGTTTGGGCTTTGCTGCAGCCCGTCTTCCTCTTTTTGCTGGCACGGCTGGTTCTGGAGCAGGTTCTTGTTTGGGTTCCCCCAGAGGAAGAGCTGTACCCCGGCGGCCTCTCTTAGCTGGAGTGGTTTCTGAAACATCACGTTTCACCGGTGTTGCCCGACTAGGTTTATGGACCTGAGGAGATGGCACAGAGATCTCTTCATGTTCAGGATTCTCAGCAGGGATGGTCTCCTGAGGGACTTGTTTTCCTTTTCTGCCTCGTTTTGGTTTCTCTGTAGCGTCAACTAGGAGTACTGACTTCACAGGGGTTTCTATGACAGCATCTGCATTAGCTTTCCGTCCTCCTTTCTTGGGCTTTGCAGCAACTGAACTTTGTTCAACACTAGGTTCCTTTTCTGGGACTATGATGTCTTCCTTTGTTTTTAGAGGCTCTGGCTCGGGTTTTCTTGTTCTCCGTGATTTCTTAGGTGGCTCCTGATGTTCAGAGGTCTCCTGTGAAGTCATCTTGTCATTCTCAATCTGTTTGTCCTCTTTCTGTAGAACACTTCTTCCTCTTTTAGCCCTTATTGGAGGCTTGGTCTCCACAGGGAGACATGTATCTTCTGCCACCTCAGTTGGTTCCTCAACATCAGGTTTGGCTTTTCTTCCTCTCCTGGGTTTACCAACAGAAGGAATGGGTTGAGAAGTTTCAGCATCTGCAACAGGACATTCATCTTTCTTGGGTTCAGTGGATGCTATTTTAGCTTTTCTCCCTCTGAGTGGCTTGGTCGTCACTTGTACTGAACTTACAGGGTCCATCGTCTTTTCATTGGACTTCTCCGATACTTGAGGGGTCATGGCTTCATTGGAAATCTCAGTTATTGCTTGTGCTTCAACTGCTGGATGATCAACAGTGTTTTGAGACTTTACATTTCTGGTTCTTGTGTTCTGTTTAACAGCAGGAGATGCTGTTGCTTCCATCTTTTTTCCTCTCCTTCCTCTGACTGGAGGAAGAACAGGCTTATTGGAGGTCTCCTCGGCTTCCTGTGTTTTCTCAGCTTCATTAGCCTCCACGGGTTTAGCTCTTTTGCCTCTCTCAGATTTCTTCTGACTCAAGCTAGTTTCTGGAACTTCTGTATCTGCGTTCTCCTCTTCAGGTAGCTTCACATGCTCAGCATCCGATGAGTTAACACTCTTGTCTTTATCTGCATCTGAAAATAAGATTAGTCAGTTTAACGGTATCAATATTCCTAAACTAAACAGGTGTAGACAGTTAATGTCATAAGCGATTAAACAGGAAATTATGCATTGAAGAATGACTCACTCTTAGGACGTTTCTGCTCCTGCTGTGCCAGTTCTTCAGGTTGTTTGGGTTTTCTTCCTCGTTTGGGCTTCAGCACTGCTTTCTCTTCAAGTGCTGGACCTCCATGCACATCAATGGTTGGCACTGAGTCAATCTCAGGTTCTGGGGTCGCTACCTCTTCAGCAGCAGGATTCTGCTCTAGCTCTGTTGCCTCATCTTGGGCTCTTTTGATAGGTCTTTGTCTTTTCATAGCAACTTTTGGAGACTCTGGGAGACTTTCTTCAACATCTCTGCTTTCAGGGACTTCTGCATTTCTGCCTCTTGTGGTGTGTCTAACAGCAGGTGGTGCTTTGGTCTCAGGTTTCTTTCCTCTCCTTCCTCTAGCTGGTGCAGACACCATGTCTTTTGTTTCCTCTTGTTTGGGTTCCACAGCTTTTGCCCTCCTACCACGAACAGATTTTCTTTCAAGAAAAGCAGGGGTAGAAGTTGTATTGCTCTCTATGACACTTTGAGGTTGGGTTTCCATGGCATCTGACGGCTACAAATGTGAAAGGCAAGAGATACTTGTTAAAACAGAGCAATAAGACAAATTCATTTGACAAAACACTCAACAAAGATTTTTCATAATTCATTACAATTGTTCATGCTGCAGATATTACCTCATCTGGCCGCTGCTCTGTCAGGTAGGTCACTGGCTCCTCCAGGAGCTCCTGAAGTCCCTCAAAGTCTTCCACTGGAGGATTTCCTCTCAGTCTTGGGGATTTCATCAGCCTTTTGATGCCAAAGTTGTTTTCTACGGGTTCACCTCTCTGTTTGGGAGTTCTCGGTAGTCTCTTCATACCAACCACATCCACAACTGGAGCAGTCTTCTCTTTGGGCGTCTTCATCATTCTCTCAACAGCAGTAAGACCCAGCATCTGGGACTGGTGGATTGGTGTCTGGAAAAGCTCTGCAACACCATCCAAGCTGACATCAGAGCTCTGTCTGGTTTTTGGAGTCTTCAAGAGTTTTCCCTGAAGGTCTTCAAGAGGTTCCACCTTCTGCTTCGGTGTTGCAAAGATGCTTTTGACCCCAGTGAGACACTCTGGTTGTTCGGTTTTCTTTTTAGGAGTTACCAAAAGATTTCCTCGGATGTCCTCTAAAGGTTCAGCTTTCTGTCTTGGCGTCTTCATGATCCTCTTGATTCCAGTGAGACAGTCCTGTTGCACAGGTTTCTGTTTTGGAGTTTTCAAGAGTTTTCCTCTCAAATCCTCAATGGGCTCAGCCTTCTGTCTTGGTGTTTTCATGATCCTCTTGACTCCAGTGAGGCAGACAGGTAATTCTGGCTTCTGTTTGGGAGTTTTAACAGAACCCGCCTTTGGATCTGAGTGTTTAGACTCTGAACAAACTTCCGAGGCAGGAGCATCACTGACAAAACTTGCTTCTTCATCTCCACTGAGAAGGCGCTGGACTGCCTCGCTGTTGTACCTTTGACTCTTTACTGTAGACGCTATGCTCAGCGGAGACACCATCATTTCATCTGAAAGGCAAGTTAAATGTTTGAACACCTTCAGCCCTGAGGTTTGTTTTGGCAAAACTAATTACGATTTTAGTCTGCTTCAATAGCATCACCTGAAAGGCCAAATTACCTGGCTCCTCCGGGGTGTTCAGCACTGATGGTTCCACCATAGAAGAAGTCGCTACTGGCGTCTTCTTGGCACTGCTCTCACTGACCAAAGACCTTCTTTTCTTCTCATTTACTGGAGTTTTGAACATCTCAGAGAGTCCTGAAATTCAAAGATACAGGCAGTTGCAAAACTGAAATCCACAACATGTAATCTGTGGTGACAGAGAAAGCTACAGCTACCTGTTAAATCTTCATCCATTTTCATGTCCTTTTTGAACAGTGCAAGATTCATGACCACTTTTGGTGCAGCTCCAGTTGGATGTACAATTGTTCTTTTGTGAGCTCTCCCAACAAGGATGGTGGCAGGGGAATCTGCATGTCCAGTGCTCGTATGGCCTTTTAGTTTCCAGGCGGGGGTCTGACAGATTGAAAGGGAAAAAAAAACCCACACACTTCAGCAGTAGTTGTGGTTTTAGAACAGTTTGAACAGATCAATCTAAAGAACAAACCTGTGGTTTGGACACAACCTTCTTCAAGGGTTTCTGTATGATCTTCTTTTCAGGTGGAGCAACAACTGAAGCCTTAGTTTGTCCAAATTTTACAATATTTGCCCAGGAACTTTGAGCTGTAGAATCAATGAAACACAGATAATGAACAAATATGACTGCTTTGAGTAGCTCAAAGTTCTTCCCACAGTACCCACAAGGGAAAAAAAAAAGTTACTTTTATACTTCAGCATTTAACACACCTTTCATTGATGCCCGTGAAATGCCACTTCGTTTCTGAAAGACTTTTACTGCACTCCTGGCAACACCTGAAGTCCTCCGTGATGCACTCTTCATGCTCTTCCTCCTGAGAGGGATTTTTGGGGTACCAGCAAGCAAAGGCATCTGTTGAACAACTGCTGTTGCTGGAGAAGGGGTCCTGATACGTGACACAGAGAAGCGACCTTGGACGGACGGAGTTTGGATGCCTGAATTCAAGGGTGTTTTCACTGGTGGTGTGCTGGACAAGGCCTTGGGAGAAGCGGACCTGGACTTAGGAGACTTCTGAGCTGGACTTGTCGCCTTGGGAGAAGCGGACCTGGATTTAGGAGACTTCTGAGCTGGACTTACAGCCTTGGGAGACTTCTTAGCAGGGGAAGTGGACTTTGATTTTGGTGATGCCTTCCCTGTTGGAGTCTTGGGGGAAGCACTCTTTTTGAACTTAGGTGATGGGGTCCTCTGCTCCTGAGGAAAAATCAGAAAACAGTTTAAATAAAAGTTTATGACCTAAAACAACAGCTTCAGGAAGACAAACTTCTCACTAACTTTTAGCAACCCAATGACAGAAGCTCTCCTAAGAAGAGACAGTTTGGGTTTATAGAGAGATAGGCTCCTCCTTGGACTGGCCCCTTTACGCAGTGGAGAGTCAGGCGGCAGGCGTTTGTCAAATAACTCTGGGCTGAGGTGGCCTCCGAAGGAAACTCGCTTCCTTTTCAGGTTTGGTATTGGCAGGTTTTTCCCAAGTTCCTCGCTCTTGCGTTTTTTGGACATTTTTGCTAAGAAAAAAACATAAATCTTTACATAAATTTAAATGCAAACTGTGGCACTTAACTAATTGTTTTATATGAGCTAATCCAAAAAAATAAAAGAAGAAGCAAAACCTTTTTCAGCAGATCCTGAGTTTTTAGGAGATCTCTTTGGTGGATTTTTCAGTTTTGGAGATTTTCCAGCTTGTCCTTCTTGCTCCATGGATACACCAGATTTAGCCGGTGTGCATTCCTTGCTTCTCCTTCTGACCGGTGACTTAGATGATGAAGCTGTTATTTGCTCAATAACCTCTGACGCGGTGAATTTCTGAGGAGTTGAGATTCTTCTCCGCTGTGAAGGACCTTCAGACTTTCCAGCTTCTTCCACTCTGGGTCCAGGGCCTTCAGCAGAAGGAACCTGGAAGGTCTTCCCCCGTTTCTTAACAGACTCTGGGGTTTTGCCTTTGGGATCTTCTTCCTTCTTGAGTGTGAGAACGACCCCTTTTTCACTCTTCTTGACAACCGAACCCAGTCTCGGAGTGCAAAACTTTGAGGACGGTGTCTGAACCACACTTGCAGAAGACTTGCGAGGCGTCTTGACATCCAACGACTTTTTGATCATTTGATACAGATCACTGAATGGCGAGTTCTTATCTTCCTGGGACTCCAATTCCAAGGTTTTCTCCAAGGATCGCTGGATGTTGTTATAGTTAGCGCCATCTTTGAGATGAGGGTCTGAAAAACAAAACAAAAATACATTTTTACACTTCAAAGTTACTGTCAAACATTATTTTCTACTTAATTGTTCTTACCAAATAGAAAGGTACTCAAAACAACCATGTTAAACACAAAAGAACAGAGGTGGACTTCATCTTTGTAACACCTGCTCTGCAGCCCTGACTCGTCTCCCCAAGTACTTTTTAAGCAAGTTACACATTGGGACATGTGAGCAAAATCTCAGTTTCATAGTTTGGGACACATTTAGATCGTCTACTACTGATAAGTTGCACCACTACAGTGGCTTACTTGTGTGTGACAAATCAATCCAACATCATAGTTAGCTTAACATGTCACAGATGTGTTCCATACAGGGTTTTCAACACCTACTACCAATCAAATGTGCAGCACAAACATGAGACTGAAGGTTAACAGTGTTACCTGTAGAGACTTCAGAGATTCTCTTTTCTCCTGCGTCAGCGGTAACACTGTGAGCCACTTGCTGATCTCGAAGAACCTAAGCACATTAAAATATCTCTAAATGACATTTATTTTATCAGAAGTGAAGGCTCAAAATGTGTTAAATACCAGGCAATGTTGAGAGAATATAAAAAGCTAAAATCACCTTAAGACTTTCAGACTTGGCCCCAGAAGAAGTCCTCTTCTTCGGTGTTTGTGTAGGCGCATACTCAAACCTGAAATATTGTCAGAAAAAAAAAATAAAAATCACAAAATCCCTCATCAAGATGATGGAAACTGAAGCATGATCGCATTAAGTTCTGTATTTCTACCGGGTTTTGTGTCAGAGCATCATTTTGAAACAAATCAATTAATTTCTATACAAGTTAATTGCACACATGTCCACATTATAATATCACTGCTGATAAATGGCCACCACTGTTGTGTTCAGTAAGAGTTAGAAAGAAACCTGACAAAATAAGAAAGACATAAAAAAAATGTGTCCAATATTTTCAGTTTTACTGCAACATTTTCATTTTCCTGCTTACCTGAAAGAACGATCGACAATAGTTATCACATCACCGTGCTTCAAGCGCTCAGACTGACTCAGAGCCTCGCCATTGACACGGGTCGGATTGGCTGAGCTCAGATTGGTCAAAATAATCTGGGGGAGACGAAGAAACATCAGCTCAAAGCACATCCAACATGACCGCGTAAACACAGATCAAACAATATTTGCAGAGGCATTCACCTCTTTATTTTCATTCAAGTCAATTCTGCAGTGCTCCTTGGAAACCTGAGGAAGCTGAATGCGAATGTCGCATTCGGCCTTCCTGCAAGACGAGAGGGAAACACGTCAACAAGTGGAACATTTCACAGAGAATATGTTTACAGTGAAATGTAATGAGAGCAAAAATACATCTAAAGGTCACATTTAAAATAAAAATAAAGGAAAAAAAAAACACAACTATATATATATATATATATATATATATATTTTTTTTTTTTTTACTGTTTCTAAGAAAAAAATAAATCAAAAGAAATGTGCAACTGTGCAGGTAATTTTAAAAAAAGTGTAAAATGTGTACATTTGTGCATAACATTTACAATTAAAAAAAGACTCCAAATATAAAGAAAAAGGATTCACTTTATTAGACAAAGCTGATTGTATATTCGCTCGCCTTGACAACAGGAACAGAACTTGTGTTTTTTGTTCCTCAAAAGTGGGCTTCTGTGCTTTCCTTGTTGTCAAAAATGCATAGTTTTGATATTTTGGCAGACTTTAAATATAAAAGCTGCAGAAATCACAGTGAAAGGATGAAAGGAAAGCCAAGATGGAAAAACGGCAGCAGAAACGGACTCAGATGGATGGAGGATAAATAAGTGGTTGGAAGGTAATTTACAAACAAATATTTAGACAGAACTATTGATTCTAGAGGTGTGCCGATCGATCGGTCACCGATCATAATCGGACCGATTTCCGTGAAAAAGTGCATGA